GTTGGACTAGGGCATTTGGGTGGTAAAGTCAAATTCCTTTGCAGCTCTGGGAGTTTCCTCCTTTTTGCTCCTCACGGTGCCTCGTGCCCTGCTGCAGCTCAACCCTTGTCCTGCACTGAGTTATCCCAGGGCAGGAGAAGCAAAACAGGTTGATGTAGGACTGAGTCTGAGTGAGGGATTGAGTTTGGGTTTACTCACTGAATCTGTGGAGGGAGTTGAGATTGAGTTTACTTAGGAATTTGTAGGGGGAATTGGGTTTGAGTTTACTCACTGAATCTGTGTGAGGGATTGAGTTTGGGTTGACTTATGGAATCTGTGGAGGGAATTGAATTTGGGTTTACTTATTGAAGTTTACTTGTTGGATTTTTATCTGTGTGAGGAATTGAGTTTGGGTTGACTTAGGGAATCTCTGTGAGGGATTGATTTTGAGTTTACTACCTGAATCTGGAGGGGAATGAGTTTGGGTTTACTCTCTGAGTCTGTGTGAGGGATTGATTTTGAGTTCACTCACTGAATCTGTGTGAGGGATTGATTTTGGGTTTACTTATGGAATCTGTGGAGGGAACTGAGTTTAGATTTACTTATTGAAGTTTACTTGTTGGGGTTTTTTATCTGTGTGAGGGATTGAGTTTGGGTTGACTTATGGAATCTGTGGAGGGAATTGAATTTGGGTTTACTTATTGAAGTTTACTTGTTGGATTTTTATCTGTGTGAGGAATTGAGTTTGGGTTGACTTAGGGAATCTGTGTGAGGGATTGAGTTTGAGTTGACTTAGGGAATCTGTGTGAGGGATTGAGTTTGAGTTGACTTAGGGAATCTGTGTGAGGGATTGAGTTTGAGTTGACTTAGGGAATCTGTGTGAGGGATTGAGTTTGAGTTGACTTAGGGAATCTGTGTGAGGGATTGAGTTTGAGTTGACTTAGGGAATCTGTGTGAGGGATTGAGTTTGAGTTGACTTAGGGAATCTGTGTGAGGGATTGAGTTTGAGTTGACTTAGGGAATCTGTGTGAGGGATTGAGTTTGAGTTGACTTAGGGAATCTGTGTGAGGGATTGAGTTTGAGTTGACTTAGGGAATCTGTGTGAGGGATTGAGTTTGAGTTGACTTAGGGAATCTGTGTGAGGGATTGAGTTTGAGTTGACTTAGGGAATCTGTGTGAGGGATTGAGTTTGAGTTGACTTAGGGAATCTGTGTGAGGGATTGAGTTTGAGTTGACTTAGGGAATCTGTGTGAGGGATTGAGTTTGAGTTGACTTAGGGAATCTGTGTGAGGGATTGAGTTTGAGTTGACTTAGGGAATCTGTGTGAGGGATTGATTTTGAGTTCACTCACTGAATCTGTGTGAGGGATTGATTTTGAGTTTACTACCTGAATCTGGAGGGGAATGAGTTTGGGTTTACTCTCTGAGTCTGTGTGAGGGATGGAGTTTGGTTTCGATTATTTGTGCATCAAGAAATGCTCACCTTGCCCTACTAAAGCGACACATTTACTTCCAGAAACACAACTCTTCCCATCTCACTCCCTCCCCACTGGGCTGTGTGTGTTGCTGCCTCTAACCTGTGCTGTGTTGGTGGTTCTCTCCCCAGGAAGAGCCCAGTAGAAGACAAATCGGCGGCGGCAGAGGTGAAGACTGTGCCCAACGAAGCCTCACGAACAAACGAGAGCGAGAGCAAAGCATGATCAGCAGTGGCAGAGCCACCCCAGCCCAGCATCGAATCACAGCCACACTCCCAGCTCATCCCTCTAGTGTCTGTTGCCTTTTTTTAAAACCAACCAACCAACCAACCGAGCAGAAAATGCGTCAATGGGGGGAGGGAGGGAATGTATCTTTTTCTTTTCGGTTCTTCTTCTGCTCTTCTTGTTGTTGATTTATTTTTTCTTTCTTAAGGTTTCTAGAGAGGTTCTATTTGTTGTGCACTTGCTTTGAAAAAGTCAAACATGTTCAAAACAGGGTGAAACCCATAACCAAATCAGGGCTAAGCTGACCCTGGGTGTAAATCAAGCAAAAATTGCAAAGACCATTTGCAATGTGGTTGGGAAGCTCCAAAATCCACTAGTCCTAGACACACAGGACAACACAAAAAAAAAAAGACACAAAAAAAGAGAATAAAACCCTGTTTTTCTTTGTTAGTCTAGCAGAGATCACCTCTGTGCCCCAGGGCACAGCTGGTATAGCAGATCCCACCTCTGTGCCCCAGGGCAGAGCTGGTGCTTAAAGAACAAAATCCACACTTTATTTTTATACTTTCTAGTCGAGTTGGAGCTCTGTACAAGCCTCGTCAGTGAGTTCTGGTTTCTGTTTCTCCTCGTGCTCGTTGGGTGGGGACCCAGTGCAGTTCCCAGTCAGACCTTGGTTTGGGGGTGACTCTTGCCTGTGTTGCAGGAAGAATGCCAAAATGCAGCTCTGGGGGATGTGTCTCGATTTGCAGTATTCAGACTCTACGTTTTTGCTTTCCATTTTATGTTCTCTTTTTTTTTTTTTTTTTTTTTGCCAACTTTTGTTCTTTCCAGTGTTTACAATCGCCAGGTATTTTTTTTTCACTTTGGTTGTGTTTCGATGATGTGTAAAATAGTTGCCTTTTCTGTTGTCCCCCAGCCAATCCAGCCTTGTAGGCACTAGGGTAGCAGCATGCTTGCTTTGCAAAGGGAGACATTTCAACCATGGATGTTTACAGTAGTCGTTTCCCCTTTCTCTTTCTCTTAATTATTGTTATTATTATTATTATTGTT